CATGTTTCTTTTGCTTCGTTGCATTTTTTCTTTATTTCCCTGTTTAAGATGTAGTACTTTTCCACATTTGATTTTGCCTTTCTTCTCTCTTCCATTAGGTTTAATATGTCCTGGGTCATCCATTTTTTAGCTTTCGGGAGGATATTTTCTTCCACAGCTTCCATTATTGAGTCTGTTTTTTTCCCGTGTCCTGATTTTGGTGCCCGTTTTTGTTGGTTACGTCGATGGTGAAGGTAATGGTAATTGTGATGGTGAGCATGAGGATGATTATTTATGTTGGCAATGATGATGTTCTGATGTAGGAGATGACGTGCGTATTAGTCTTAGTGTTAAGTTTGTTTGGTGCTTACTCTAGATCCCCGCCAGGCTGCCCTGGGGGGCAGGACACAACCCTCATTCCCAACTCCTCGCATAGAGTGACCAGAAATTTGGAAATAATTCGTCATCTTCATCCCTAGCATTTAATAAAAGTAGGCCGAAAAATCACATGGGGGCCGCTTCTAAGTGATGACATTGTTAGTGTGTTTGTTACCCTACGTCTATGCTATCATATTTTCAAAACAGTGAAAGGAATGTGGCCAATAATCTTCGTAAAAATTAACTTTCATAGTCAAAGCAGACTAACTTGTGTGCTTACAGGTTATCGTTATCGTCGTTCGCAACCGGTCCCGAGGCACTTCTGTGGTCATTGGAGCATGTAAAAAGCCTGAAAAACCATGCCTGAAAAAGTATGAAGTCTATTTGACTTCTACTTCTATCACCAGGACTCTTCCAAGTGTATCTTCTTCTTAGGTGATTTTCATACCAGGTGTTTGATATCATAAAATTATTTTCTCTGCACCATTCTACCAGTCGTTCCCTGCGTTCATTCTCTCTATCCAGTCCCCATAGCCCAACTATATCTTCTATACGTGTACTTCCTACTTTGGCATTAAAGTCTCCCATGACTATCTTTACATCTTGTGATTTTAACTGTTTCATTGCCGTATCAAGGTCTTCATAAAAAGTCTCAATTTCCTCGTTGTCGTGCCCTGATGTTGGTGCGTATATTTGGATGACACCTATGTCACAAGGTTTTCCCTCTAATTTAGCCACGATGACTCTATCTGACACTCCCCAAAAACCTTTGATACTTTTTGCTGTTGCTTCGTCAAGTAAAATTCCGACTCCTCTTTCATAGGTTTTTCCTCCTGAATATATAATTGTTTTGGATCCTCTTTTAATCAAGCCTGCCCACTTCCATGTAACTTCTGAAAGGCCTAACATATTTAGCTTCATCCTATCCATTTCCTGTTCTATATTATCTAATTTGCCTTTCTGGTACATTGTTCTTACATTCCATGTGGCGATGTTAAGTTGCTTATTTTTGCAGCCAGTAGCTGGATGACGATCGGGCGCCACCTGCTGCCCGTGGCGGTCCCTACCGAGCGGGGAGTTCAGAGCTGGATCATGAACCCCCTTAGCGCTGTTATCTGATAAATGAATGTACTTTTCCATGACTGTTCTTGGGATATTACAGCAGTGGTTTCCCGTTGCCTACTGCCGGTTTGTGTACAGTTTCTCTGCTAGCCTTTGTCATCCACTGACAACCCACAAGGCAGTGGGGGCTTTGGTAGGATTTATGGCGCCTCCCGTCGCCATGATGGTCCCTTCTTCGAGTGTGTGAGGTATTTATTGAAGCACCTGTGCCACCAGGGTTCCCCTCTAATCTTTAATTATGTTCTGGTAAAATATAAATCATTTTTTATCTAGCTCTACAACACTTTTACGTAGATTAAAATATTTCTTAAGAATATGATGCTACGGTTTATAAACTCTGTGATATTGTTTAAAAAACTGCTTTCTGTTGGTGATGACTGTGAGAATGTAATACTTATAATTGATTTTGTTGCCCAATTAACAGACAAATACGGTGTCCGGTAAATGTCTAGTTAAAATCTTCTTTCGGAACTTACTTAATACGCACGAAAAGTCTCCACTTTCTGTGGAGCCAACATACGAAATTTATAGAAGGGAGAACTCAACAAGACCTTTACCCAAAGGCGTGTCGACAAAACGAATTACTTCTTGCAAGCCACAAATGGAGATATTGGCAAATAATCGACACAAGGGCCAGTCCTGTAGATTTTTTATTGATGCCATATTCTTTAAGTATAACATGCCTTTTATTTTTTCATACTTATAAATCGTAAGAATTTCACATATAAGCGTGATGTATTTATTTCCATAAGGCTTGAATCTGAGAAGTAACTCTTTTTGTCCACACGCTTCACCAATGTCATTACTACTTCTCCTGCTGGTGTGTAACCTTGTAGCTGACGTGAATCTTACATGCCTTGTTATAGAAGACAATTCTTATTACATTTATTACTCGTTAAAGTACTAAACCTGATATCAAGGATTTTCTCCTTTTTTTTTTGTTGGCGTTGTTGTTTTATGTTTTTGTTGGTTATTTTAGGGGGGGTTTTTTTTTTGGGGGGGGGGGGGGGAGGGGCAGTTAAGGTAGTTTGAATCCAATAAAGCTGAGTGGATGGTCTAGTGTTGCACCGACCCATATTTTTTTTCTTTTTGAGAGTTTACCAAATGGACATTTCCAATCCTCTGCTTTTGTTCTGCAAAGTAGGGGAATTTTTCTCCGTTATAAAATGTAACGTCGATTTCATAATGCAGAGGTTACGCCCAATCCCTATTTCCTGTCAAAATTTGAGAGATTTACTGTTTGTGAATTTCCCATGAACACAATGGACCCTAGAAAGGGTATTGACGTTCTGAATAACGCCACATCAGCTGTTACTTGTGGCAGATGGACTGGGGGTGTGTCAAGTTGATAACTTATTCAAAGCGTGGTGTATACGTCTTCGGGACCCCACATATTCTCTGATCGTGAATCCGCTGAGATCTTTCGGCAAGGCGAAGGAGGTTACCGAAAGTACGTCGGGAAGTGAGAGAGAGAGAGAGAGAGAGAGAGAGAGAGAGAGAGAGAGAGAGAGAGAGAGAGAGAGAGAGAGAGAGAGAGAGAGAGGAAGAGAGCGAGAGAGAGAGAGGGGGGAGAGAGAAAGGGAGAGAGAGAGAGAGAGAGAGAGAGAGAGAGAGAGAGAGAGAGAGAGAGAGAGGTAGAGGTGGGGGGGGGAGAGGGAGCGAAACAGACAATTAGAAAAGTGGGCTACACGCATTCTGTACCTTGGAACGGGATGTATTTGTGTGTTTGTGAGTGGAAAAAAAGGGAGGGGGGGGGGAAGAAATGGTGTGGGTGCTTCCGTGATAAATACCCAGCTTTGGATATAACGGTTTTATCAGTTTGCCCCCCAAAAAAGAAAGCAATTTTTTTGTTCACGGCACTTACTGTCCTTTTTCATGCCAGTTATCGCTAAAAGAGAGAGAGAGAGAGAGATGTGAAAA